GAAAAAAAAAAAAGAAAAGAAATGTACTCTACCTGACTTATGTAACTGTAATCCCTCTGTACATTACCTTTATAATAAAATTAAAAATTAAAAGATAATAAATCTGAGGTAAAATAACAATAGTCACTTTAGGAGTCATCAAAGGCCTTGCAGATGGAATTGGGGTTTTACAGTTATTGTTGGGTGTTTGGTCCTGTAACTATATGACTTTTTTTTTTCTTTTTTTGGTCCAGTCATGGGCCTGAACTCTGGGCCTGGGCGCTGTCCCTCAGCTCTTCAGCTCAAGGCTAGTGCTCTACCACTTGAGCCATAGTGCCACTTCTGGCTTTTTTCTTTTTGCTTATGTGGTGCTGAGGAATCGAACCCAGGGCCTCATGCATGCAAGGCAAGCGCTCTACCACTGAGCCACCTTCCCAGCCCCCTATATGACTTTTATTAAGGCATTTATACTTAATGAGTCTTAGTTTTGTCCTTTGAAAAATGGGATAATTCTTTCATTACAATGTTGTCAGGAGCAAAGTTCTAGGTATAATTAAGTAGTAAGTTGCTCAATATATTATTAACTGGTATTTGTGTGTGCCTACTACTGTTCTCAAGTTATTTAGGTCCTAGAGAAATTGGATTCTTTATCTGTGACCTTTTGGCTGATATTTCACTTTTTTTTTTTAGGCCAAACTATTTTATTAGTTTATTACTCTTGAATATTTTGTGCTTGTGGTAGACTTTACTTCTTTTTTTTTTTTTTTTGCTGGTTGTGGGGCCTGAACTCTGGGCCTGGGCACTGTCCCTCAGCTCTTCAGCTCAAGGCTAGTGCTCTACCACTTGAGCCACAGTGCCACTTCCAGCTTTTTCTGCTATGTGGTGCTGAGGAATCGAACCCAGGGCCTCATGCATGCAAGGCAAGCGTTCTACCACTGAGCCACCTTCCCAGCCCTGAGACTTTAGTTCTTGGTACTGTGTTGTATCTTCTCCTTAGTCTCTTTATTTGAATAATTTTTTTTTAAATCCCCAGTGGTCCCTTCTGAAGCTTGTTTAGTGGGAGCAGAGACAGAGCACACTGGTATTTTGTTCCTCTTTTTAGTCTTCAGGCTATCTTTTTTTCTTTTTGTTGGCCATGATGCTTGAGCTCCAGGCCGGGGCTCTGTCCCTGAGCTCTTCAGCTCTAGGGCTTTCCACCACTTGAGCCACAATGCCACTTCTAGCCTTTTCTGTTTATGTGGTGCTGAGGAATCCAACCCAGGGCCTCATGCATGGGAGGTAAGCATTCTACCATTGAGCTACCTTCCCAGCCCCTTCAGGATGTCTTTGTACATTCAAAATGTCAATAATTATTTCATTATTTCTTTCCCCTTGACCAAATCACTTCAAATTTTACCTGTTCCCTTTCTTAATCAGGAATAATGTTTTTCAGAGTTCTAGGTTAAGTAATAAAAACTGAAGGACAGGAACTTGATATGGCTGCTGGATGGGTGGGTTGGTAGTGCAGAGTGATGGGAGGGGTGACTGATCAAGATTCAGTGTACAAACAAATGTACATGTAAAACTATAACCCTTTTGTAGAATCATTAGAAGATAAAAATGAAGAAAAATTAACAACAAAAACCCAGTGTCTTCTTAGAATATTGGATTTCTGTGAACAGACGTTCTCGTGTTTTATTAGTATTTGCATATCTTTGGATGTTGTGAATTATTTTCTCTCTGTTTAGCATATTTACCCAGAGATTCCTTAATACTGAAGTAAGGTAAATGGGCTCTGTATAAGTTGGAGTATCTCCTGTAGAAGAGGGTTCTAGGAAGTAGGCAGGCTAAAGCAAGTGACAAGTTCTCTTTCCTTCTTCCTTTTTTTTTTTTTCTTTTGTCAGTTGTGTGGCTTGCACTCTGGGCGTGGGTGCTGTCCCTCAAGGCGAGTACTCTACCACTTGAGCTACAGCGCCACTTCTTGTTTTCTGGAGGTTTATTGGAGAGTCTCATGGCCTTTCCTGACCAGGCTGGCTTTGAACTACTCAGCCTCCTTGAGTAGCTAGGATCACAGGCGTGAGCCACCAGCACCTGGCTCCTTCTTCCTTTTATCTTTTTGCAAGAAGGCCTTTGAAAATTACTGTAGATTAAATTATTAAATTATTATGAAGAAGGACTTTTGTACACATTAGTAAAAAAGATTTTTTTTTTTTTTTTTGCCAGTTGTGGGGCCTGAACTCTGGGCCTGGGCACTGTCCCTCAGCTCTTCAGCTCAAGGCTAGTGCTCTACCATTGAGCCACAGTACCACTTCCAGCTTTTTCTGCTATGTGGTGCTGAGGAATCGAACCCAGGGCCTCATGCATGCAAGGCAAGCACTTTACCACTGAGCCACCTTCCCAGCCCCA